CTCTTGAGAGTCCCTTGGACTGCAAGGAGACCAAATCAGTCAATCTTAAAAGAAATCAACTCTGACTGTTCCCTGGAAGGCCAGATACTGAAGCTGAAGCTCAAATACTTTGGAACCAAATGAGAAGGGAGCACTCACTGGAGAAGACCCTGATGCTGGGAAAGATTGAAGGACAAAGAAGAAGGGGACGGCAAAGGACGAGATGGTTAGACAGTGTTATTGATGCAATGAACATGAAACTAAGCAAACTCCAGAGGACGACGGAAGACAAGAGGACCTGGCGTGATGTGGTCCATGAGGTTGCGAAGAGTCGGACTCGACTGTGCAACTGAAGAACACCACAAAATCCACAAATTGTTAAACAAGACAACCATACATGTGTCTTTCACTATGCATATCTACAATGTATGTGTACTCAGAGGTTGTGGCCAAGTGTAGCTTCACAGTTTCTGACCATGTAATCTGCACATTTTTCAAAAGGTTTCTTATATAAAAAAGACACCTGAAGCTTCACAAATAAAAACAAGTAGAATATGATTCTTTCAAATTCCTGCCTGCTCATGAATGCAAACTAAAAGAATTCTGTTATACAATGGAATAAACATCAAAAAAATTCTTGGGAACTCCAGCTGCTTTTAGAAGGACCTGTCCCAAAGATTAATTCAACCAAATTTAATCCAATAATGCAAAGCTTGTTACTGCAGAAATTCAAGATTTACTTGTTGGAAATGCAAGGCCATCAGATGTTAGATCCAGTGTTTGTAGACAAGCAGTGATAAGATTTAATATGGATACAAATGTAACATTATTCACTGATTACTGCTTGGTATTTTGCTTAACAGGCCAACATTAACAGTGTGCAATGGGCATACAAATCAGACTGGTTAGTCTCCAAATAATAATTGTTCAATAATTATGAGACTTTTGTAAAATCCAGCAGAAATACTACAGGTTTTCCTCATTCTGCAGACGCCAGGCTTTAGACAATAATGCAAGATTTGCAAAAACAAACATGAAATAGGGAATTGCTAACCCTGTACATAATCTAGTCCTATATACCCCTCTATTTCCAAATCAATATAGCCTTCTGATTTCTACTACATCTTTACAGGTCCTTCTAGAACTTGAAATCAGTGCCAGACTTCTGCTTAAAAGCTTACACTATTGCTAAAAGTCAATTCGCTACAAATCTTGAACAGCTAAGTGCGTAATGAAGGCAACACACAGTACTTTCTATACTATTCCAACATTCCAAAACAAAACAGTTTCTTGGATAGAATGACTGGAAATTGTGGCTGTTAATAATCGATTGACTGCTTTAAAAATACTGTTAACTACAGTTAGGCTATTGTTACTATCTTCTGGCACTACTACTTGGCAAATGTTAAGTTAGTAAAAATATTGTCCACATTTTTTTATATAAACTATTTATGTACCGTCACTCATAACTGAGCAATAGCCTTCTGATTTACCTAACTGCAAGTTACTGAACATTCCACAATTGTGCCTCAGTACCATGGGAGATGATGTAATCTACCTGTGTGACTAGTATGCATAGCCACAATCCACATTAATAACTCCAGTATATTAAGCCTCTAATTTGTTTTATTAAATGCTACAAAACCATAATGAGATGGTCTTGTGGTACATTTCTTTTATTATACATACAACATAATCAATATGCGTAGGGCCTTCCCAGGAAAACCATACTATGTATCTCTATTTGCTGAAGCAAAGTAAAAGAACTTATGGGTGAAGTACCCAGAAAATGTTTGGTCTTGTCAAAGTGAGCCCTGATGTAGCAAAACAATTTCTCGGTATTATTTTCTTTATATTTATTGCAAGACTAACTACATATGATTAAAAATGTCATTCTGTATAAATCTGACTTTGAACCACCAAGCTTGGAATAAAACCACACTTTAATGATTTACTATAGTATCATTTCCAGATACATGTACTTCAGTAGGAACTGGCTTAGATGGCTATTTGGATTAGGACCCTATTTCCATATTCTGCCCCTGAACTATACAATGCTGTACTAGTGGCACCTCTGACTACTATTAATTATCAAACCTCTTATATTCGTTACTGACCAAAGTGAATGGAGCTATTTCAGGTTATAGGGACACAAGCAGTACCAAAATTGTACGTGTTAGGTTACTTGTATATCCCAGAGAGTTAATTCTCTCTCACACATCGGGGGGCTAGTTTGAACAAGGGGTATTCTCTCCTATAAAGAAATTCTTGAAATAAATTCTACTATCAGGCCTGTGTAGTCTCAGTGTGGCCTTCCACAATAAAGGTTGTTCTGCACACCAAATCTACATTAACATTATAATAAGCTTTTTGCTTAAAATAAATGAAGTTCAACTGTATGCAACAATGCAGGTCTACTACCTTGGATCTTAGAAGGTATAACCTTTTAAGTTAAGAAATATTTACAAAAGCCATAATTATTACTTCTGAGACCTAGTTCCTCTTTAACTTGCACTTAGTTCTGATGCCACATATGTTCTTGATTCAGGTAAGAATCATTTTGAAAAAAATTCAGGGTCTTCTTCACTTTTCCATGGTTTGCCAATACCAATGTATTATTCCAAGTTCCACAATAATAATAATAATAAAATAAGTGTCTGGTAAGCTTTCAAATGTAGAATGTGAAATATATAACACAAGTACTTTTTTCTGGGCCACCTTTAGAACAGAACATTCTAGAATTTCATAACATCTTTGGCCAAAAGAACATTTTTAGAGTACCCCACAAACACTGTTCACATGTACAGAACCCCAAAAGCTTCAAACTCATAACATGAAATTAGTTTAAAAGAACACACTAAAATACACTGGTATCCACAATAAAAACAGTAGCAAAAGCACTGTAATGCAGAAGTTCAATCGCTTAAAACTTATTATATAAATTGGCATGGCCATATGCCATTCTCCAACTTATCCAGATAGATGGTCAAGTTTAACGTAGTAATACCTATGCATCACACTAAGAAATACTTGTTTCCGCATCCAAAGGGCCACTGCGTAAGGATTAAAACGCAGACAATGTCTGTTTTTTGCAGGGGGGGCTTTAATGATGAATCAAGTTCTCAGCTCTCATGACTGTGCAGGGGGAGAAAAATCAAGGTCTTTCTTGAAGCCTCAGTAGTCCTGAGTAGAGATGAGCAGGAAACTGGAGTCCTCTCCTTATGACTACTACTATTACCTACTCACATGGCCTGCTATTTATAACTAACATTTATTTTCCTGTTACCTTCCATTCCTCTCCATCCACATTCCCCCATCTCAGTATTTTCCAAGCAATATAAATCCTATGTAAATAGGCCTGGGATCACAGCTCTTAGAGTAGACTCCTGCAAGCTTACTTCATTTGCATAAATTATTCTCAGCACAGATTTTTTCTCTCTCTTTTGGGATACAGGGAATGCATATCCCAGACCATCACTCAGCAAAGAAAAAATAAAGAATTCATTAGATATGATGGACAGTTGGGGTATACTTTTAGATTATGTAAGGCTAATGAGAAGTTTACCAGAGAGATCTACTTTTACAAAAAATGGCACATTTAATTCAAGTTGAAATGGTTTAAGAACTAAAAGAAAGGTTTTAAGTAAAAAATCTCAGTAAAACAGTCCACCTGGGCCAAAACTTGGGAGTACCATTTCCAGTTTTAATAACTATATATTGCTACAAAAAAATATAAACTCAAGAGAAAAGCAGGTGACAGCCATAGGAAGATTGTAACACCAAAATTAAGACATAGAGAAGGAATATGATGTTAGTTTAAGTATCCAGAATATCATTAAAAAAGCAAGTGTTTTATTAAATGCACTGGAGAACATATCATACGTCAAAGAATTATTTAAACCACAGCTTAAAAGATTTTAGCTATTAGAAAATGTTTCTATCTTCAGTTAGCATTCAGCAATGACAAAGTTTCCTCAACACATTATGGGATGGCCTTCTCTGGACATTTAAGATAAGTGTGGATGGACATCATAAAAAGGTAAAGGTTTCTCTTACTCGAAAGCTAGTTTTTTGACTGAGCTAGGACAGACCAGACACTTGAGGCTGCCATATTTGCATCACAACCAGAATTCTGAGGAGCTGATTTTCTCCTGTTTCTTTTTTTTAAATAGAGGTTTTAATTTTTAACACAAAAATATAATTGCCTTTTCCATATTAAAACTTTTCCAAGGATCCCAAGTCTGAAGTGTTTAAAGACTCACAACAATAACTGTGATACAGCAATTCTACTAACTTCTGGCTCTTCTCTCAACCTAGACACAAAAGAATCGCTATACAAAAGCAAAGAACAATACAGCTCAAGAAGTGAGAATATTGCAAATCTACATTAAATCTTAAACACACTTTTATACAAATGATACTTAAGTTGCAATGCCATACATATCTACTTGAGAGTAAGCTTCACTGGAACTCAGTATAACTTACCTCCAAGTACAGATGCCTACCACTGGGCTGCAAGACTTTCCCCCCATGGCAGAACCAAGAGTTAAAACAACGGTCTTCCTAAACATTACACTGCATGCATACTATAAACTCCCCCCCCCAAAAAAAGATCTAGCCTTAGAAAGTAACACACCAGCTAGCCTTGAGAAGAAAAAAGTTGAATGTAAGTACTGATACACAACAAATAGAACTCTCAATAATATGAAAAAATGTATGCTTCATACTTTGCAGCCTAAAGGCAAGTAGCTTTCCAATCTTTAAAAAAACCAAGCATTTCAAACACCTCTTTTAAACAAAGGAAAGAGTAACAGCGTTTACACTTAAGCACAGGTCTTTGCGTCTTCAGCAACCAATACGAAAGAAGATGTTGCTGTCCCACCAAAAAGGGAGAACAATGAACTTCTAATACTTGACACTCGCATTTTGTCATTACCTTCTAACAATGCGTAGTGCTTTTCACTCAGATCAAAATTAAGCTTCTATTTTATTTAAAAAGCTGAGTCCAGTCCATGCCTTACCTGGAGGGTCCATTTCAATATAGAATATCAACTCGGTGGAATACGGCATCATCACCTCCCTCCAGTCCGTGTCATCGCGATCCATATCCCACACCGTATTGTACATTGTGGCGAACAGGCAGATGGACGATCGCTGGGACCCCTCTGTGTAAGTTTCTCTCCCCCCCTAATAAATAGTATACCAGAGCATAATCCCCCCCCGCCGGTTTAGCCCCCCATCGCCCCCCCAAAAAACAAGGGAAGAAACTTTCTCGACGGTTTCCTCAAGAAAAACCACTCCCCTCTCAGGAAGCGAGAGGGAGCAAAAGAAACGCTTTTATTAACACACACACACCCCGCGGAAATGGAGGAGGAGGAGAAAGAAATCACGGAGTCCAGGCTCTTCCTCACCAAAACCAAATTCAAGAGGAGGAAGGGGGGGGGATATTTCCCTCCCCAGAAGATAACGAGCAAATATATATAAAACGTGTGAAAATGCGTGAGCGTGGAGGCAGTCTGAGGATTTTTTTTAAATAAAAAACCCGCTTAAAACCGATTTGAAGAAAAGTAGCAATTTTTAAAAAAGCAATCGTCCTGGCTTCCCCCAAGGTGAGGATACAGCCATGGAGCCTGGAGGGGGACGGGTCTCGTTTCTCTAACACCCCAGGACTGAGCCGCCCCCCGAAGACTCTGCCAACCCAGCCGCGCTCCTGCTGCCCCGCGCTTGGCGCCCGTTGCTGCCGTTTCTGCAGCCGCTGCCGGCTCCCACCGCACACAAGCCCCGCGTCGGCCCCTGCGCGCTCTCTGGTGTTCGGCGAGCCTCAACCCCGCACGGTTTCATTTTAAAGAGGCTCTGAGGGCCCCAACCGCCGCCAACCGCCTCTATGCCGCGATTTAACTCCGCCCACCCGAGGGGAAACGGGGGAGGGGCAGAGTGGCCAGGGCGCCCCGCCCCCACTGGTTAACCCTCTCGTGCTTGGACTAGCGGAATGAGAATTTCACTTACATACCTGGCATGCGAAGGAACAAAAGACGTGAGTGGGAAACTTCAAAATTTCACGCTTATCTAGGGATATCTTTTCAGAGGTCACACATACAGTGGGTGCTCCAGTGATGCTAGCAGCGTTATAAGGTAGACACCTCCAGCAAGAGCAGCAAGCGGTGGATGCTCCGTTCAAATGTAGACACCCCCCTCCACCCTTTGCTCTGAGGTAGATCTGCTGTCATCAGAACATTCAAGGCTCTTCACTGTTTCCCTCCTCTTTCCTTCCCAAACGGCACATAGAAGATGATGCAAAAGATAGTATGTATCTGCTTGCTGATATTACTAGTATTACATAGAAGAGTATGTAACTTTTGGCCACCGACCCCCTACATGTTCATGTAAATAATCCCTGGGGATGTGTGTGCTGACTCCGGGTGAGAGGGTGGTGTGATTGGGCATTACTCCTGAGAATATGCTGCATGTGGAAGAGACTCTGGCAGAATGTGCATGATGGCATAGTATGCATGCAATGTTATATTGTATGCATAACTGTGACTGAAGTCATCATCAACCATCTACCTACTACAGAAGAATTCCAGTGTCTCCAGTGGGATTACTGCAAATTTAGTGGAATGTGGAGATGGACATGATTGGGTAAACTGACAGCTTTGAATATGTATGATCTACTTTGATAGTGGAGGTGTGACATATATTCAGGGTGGATAATGGTCCTAACAAACAGTTGTGGACCAATTTGGTACCAGGAGATTATAAAAGCTAGTTTATTTTAATAGAAGCAGAAACTGGCACATTCACAGCTAGTCCAGGTATTCAGTAATCCAGGTATTCAGTAAATCCCACTGCTATATAGGCTTTAGCATTTAGGAATTGTTTGTTTGTGGCAAACAGTGTATCAGTTATAATTGATTTGTGTCCTCTAATTGGTGGCAGCTGGGCAAAGAAATGCTGTTCACGCCTAGTTATAGATCATAGTCAATGCTCCCTCTAAGCTGCGTAGTCTTGTGAGCAAAAATTTAGTTTTGTGAGCTACTGACATTAAAGTTGTGAGAGAGCGATTTCACTACTATATAAATTAGTCTGCTCTGGAGCCATCCTTCCTGAGGTAAGACATAAATGTGTGAGCCGGAGGCTAAAAAACTGTGAGCTAGCTCACACAAACTCAGCTTAGAGGGAACACTGATCATAGTGTTTATTTACTACATAAATATAAATCAGTTTCTTACAGGTTAGTCCTGTTAGTCAATGAGATTGCTAAATCTCTGGATTACAGTTTCTATGAGTGTTGCAATTTTCTATGTGGCTTTATATGTGGTTATGTGAAACGGGCTGAAAGTTTTCAGTGTGCAGCCTAGTTCAGCCATATTTACTTAGTAGTACGTCCTGCTTTGCTCTTACTCCCAAGTAAGAGGCCATTGCTGCTATCACTATGGCAGGCTGGGCACCAGGTGCTGTTTGTATCTGTAAGAGAGACTGATCAATATGAACATTGTATGCATTTCAAGATGGTGGGATTGTTATTGTTAAACTTAAATTGTGTGCTTAATAGACAGGACATATTGGTGGAAAGGGCATGTAGCATTTTAAAAAAGTGAGGTACCTCCCATCCAAGTGAGAAAGTACATAGATTCTTTCTCCATCCTTGTCAAATCTTGATGACAAAGTGCTGGGATCCAGTAGTATTGTCTCAGCTGTAGCCTTCCTGATCACTCGCCTCATCTTGTTTGGTAGTTGCTCATAGCCTGGTGTTTGCAAAATCCTTAACATTTTGAAGGAGTTATTACAGTTTCTTACATTCAGGACAGTCTAACAGAACACATCTTCTTCCGTATATTTTACTGATAATACACCATGAAATTAAATTCAGAATTATTCCAACTTCCAGAGAAAACATGCTTAATATGTATATTAGTTTTCACAGGGAAGACTGTTGTTCATTGTCCAGCTATGTACAGGCTTTTTGTGGTCCTTAAGTATATCAAGTAGAAAAACTGTATGCACAGTGGTATCTGATAAATACATATGTATGTATTTCGACTAGTGTTTATGAGGAGTACATATGTGAGGAAACTGCAGGCAACTGTACCCTGACTTCAAATATTGGGGGGGGGGGGATCACTAATATACTATCTGCAGGCTCTTTGTGTTAGTAGCTTTGGTATCTAAGATGGGCTTAACATATGGATAAATCTTAGTCTCCACACTTTACTAGTTTTACTAAGCTTTGCAGGGAACTTGAGTATCCTATTGTTTCTTGCTTTAGTTTTGCACAGAACAGTGAAGTAGTTTTGGAACAAAAAACAAGGTACTGCCAGTATAAACTTTAACCTGTATTATCACTGCTTATATGGCTTCCGATGACTCAGAAGTTTAAGTATTTCAAAGGCAACAGGATTTTTTTTTGTTCTGTTGCAGATGGAGGTAAGTTATTTAACCAGTCAGTTAAGTGACACCCAGATAAATGAATTAGATTTGGGATGTCTGAACTTCAAGCGCTTTGTCTGGAGAGCTTTGATTAAGATGACAGCAGACACGAAAAGTTACATGGCATCCTTTTAAACATATATGTATACATTTCCAGGCACTTCTCCTCTTATTTTAGGAAAGCAAAGTTATTTATTCTGTTTTTGGCTAACTGCCAGGATGCACGACTGCTCGACGGGCGGCGGGGCGGGGGGGGGGACGGATTAGTTAGCCCAGTTTGCGAGAGCCGCTTTGCTTGTCTTTTGTCTGAAAGAAAGCATCGAGCCTGATGATTGGCTGAAGGGCCCTCTGCTTGACTAGCCAATAGGAAGACTAAGAAACAGGCCGGCTGGATAGCGATTGGCTGGGAATCCCAGTTACTAAGCGGGACAAAGAAAGGAGGGGGAGGGGAGGGGGAGAGGGGAACGAAAGAGCTTGCTGTATCCAACCTCCCTTTCCTTCACAGTACTCTCCCCCTCCCGTTTTACTAAATGGAGCTTCGCTACCCAGAACAATAGTCGCACGTGATGTATTACACGAATATCAGCTATGAGATCTGGGTCGGTCGTAGGGATCCTATGATATATGCATTGATTACAGTTTAAAAAAATCAGGCACTGTGTTCCATAAGCCTGATTAGATGGAAATGCCTACACCATCCCCGATATTCCTTCACCCCACTGCCTTGTTTTGGCACTCGGCCCAGTAGCCCCAATGCCCCTTACAGCTGCTCGAGCTGTGGAGGCGAGCAGGAACATTTAAACATTCAATTCAAGGATTTTGAGTGACATAACAAAAATTAATAAATGCCTTGCTAGACAGATACTTTTAAGGCTATGTACAACTATCTCCTATGTGGCTTTAAGATGTTTTGCAAGAACTTTAGGCATACAATCATTGCTCCTAGCTGTTTACTGTGTAATAATACACAGATATTCAAGGAATAATGATGAAGAGAGAGAATGATACTCACAAAGAGGCATCCCTAAATACAACTCACACTAATAATCTGAACTGAGGTTTAACCTCCTGACTGTCTCTGCATGATCCTTCTAAGCACCTATATACAGAAGCAAGTCCCACTCAATTCAGTGTGTGAGACTTATTCCTTAGCATGTGTTTAGAATGGCTTCCCTTTGTTAGTGTTTGTTGTGTGCTACTTTAATTTGCACTCCCCTACAGCCAGTTCCTAAATACGTTTATTAACAAATATCCCACAGAGCTGATTTTAGGGAAAATTACTTCCTAGTAGGTATGCTTAGGACAATTTGCAGTCTTCATGCAACACTTCATATGGATCTAGCATACTTGTTGCAGATAACTCAAAAGCCAGAAGTAACATGATGCAGTATTAGGTTATAAGCTGAGCTAGCAAGATACAGTGCAGTTTGCCATGGTTTTTCAATTAGATGTGTGAAACTACCCTTAGGAAGTGTAATAGATGGGCATGAGTGACTCTCAGTTGCAGAAATAAAAGTGACAGCTCTTTAACTAAGGAGAACAAGAGTCTTCTTGAAATTTCCAAACAATGAGAGGGGTCACAGGAGCATGGATTGAAGGGTGCATTTTCTGTGCTGGTAGTAGAATTAATCTGATGTCATACTGAGAGGCAAGATATATGCAAGCTATGCATGGTAATATAGATATGTATTTTAAAAGGAAAAAGCACACTCTGCCTGTGAAATTACACTGATACTTTTGACTGACTCTCAATTTTGTTAAATGTTTATATTTGCAGCAAAATGAATGTTCATGGTGCAGCTCTCCCTATGTAATGTCTGTGTACCTCTCAAGACACAGGGCTT